CTTGGCATTTTTGGAGTTTAGGTTGAGGACAGAAGACTGGATGCAGGGATGCACAGATGCGGATACCTTTTGCTGACTATGTTTCGAGTCGGCATCTGTTTGATAAATAATGTTTGTGGTTATTAAATCGAATGTATTATAATAAATAAGAAGAAACAACCTGTTGAATGTTGTGATTGATTATCGAATTCGTGTTTAAATATTGCTTTGTTTTTCTATTTTAATAATTGTGTTTCTTATCGATAAAAAATACGATAAGTTATAAATACCGCGTTGTAATACAAATACTTTGGATCTTTAATGCGATTTTTTGACTTCTTTTGGGTTTATAACATGTATCGTGCATACAATTTGTCTGTATTCTGGTTTCAAAAACAACTCCAAACATAAATTAATAATAAAAACAATGTTTTTCTTTTATTTTGATTTGACAAACAACGCCGGTACTTCTATTTAGGGTTTGTTTTATTGAATTTCAATTTAAATTGGAAAATAACAGTGTACATTTTTATCATACAATTTGTTCTATTTAAAATAAAACACTGTGGTGGTAAGGTAGTTTCAAGTCGGTGGAATATGTTGTGTGAATTATAATATGTTCACAATTGAATTGTATTAATTTCAAAAGCTATAACTTACTATTAACATTTTATTTACAATGTTAATATTATTGTATTTATATTTTTTATAAAAATCATAAATTAACTATTATTTAATTATCTTAAAAGCCAAATTAATATAAATTTGTTTATTATTAAAATTATCGCTAAATATATCTATTTTTCAACAAGCAAACTTATCTGTAAAAATAATATTGCCAAATTTTTGCAATCATAGAGAGCAAACCATTTTTTGTATTAAAAGAAAACAATATGTCACTTAATAACACAATTATCTATTTTAAATATTTTTTATATTTAAAAAAACAACAGGAACGACAAAACAAATTTCAGTATTGTATTTTTATTTCAAAATCCAACAATATAAGTTATTTTTACATCGAATTTAAGTCGATATGGGTGTGAATCGCTAGCATAAAATATATTTTTGATTGTTTATCATCTTAACTTCCATACAATCCAATACTGCTTTTTTAACAGTTTTTGAAATTATTATACAGGAGTGAAAGTGGAATGTAAAAATGAAAGTGAAATGTAAAAACAAGGGTTTAGTAGATAATAATAGCATTTTTTTCACCAAAACAGCTTTTTTCACAAATTTCAAAAATGACAAAAGAATTGTGGAATGATTTGAATTGATATTTTTAAGAAAACCAAAATCAACCATTTTCAACTTAAAAATGTTCGATCTAAAATAATAGAAGAAATAAAAAAAATGGGCAAAAAATTCACGTGTTTTTTTCCGAAACAGCCCCTCATCTTTTTTTCGGAGTTAATTTTGAATGTAGGCAGGAGTGCATTCTTGAGAATATTTCACTAGATGATTATATCAAAGCATCACCGACAGTTATCGACGGCACAAAAAGTGAAGAAAAGACTGACTGTAAAAGTTCCTTCTTGTTTTGTGAAGAATACGAGAAGTTCCTTACTGAGAAAGAACGTCATTAATTAGTGGTCAATCAAAAATATTTGTACGAGAACCTTGATGAATCTATTCTTACTCCAAACAATTTATTTCTCGTTTATATTTGGAAACAAAATACGACGAGGATGTAAGGGTAAAAGTCAGACATTTCTTCTATAAAATACTTGCAACTGAAGAATTTGGTCTTGCGTCGGAGTCCAGGCAATTACAGGTTCATTTCATAACAACAAAAGTGGCAGAATTCAACAAAGACAATGGCGGGAAACATATATTATCGACTACACTGTTTTGGGAAACGTTTACAACATCTCACCAAGTGAGATATCAAGAGTGAAACTTCGGGGAGAGAAGTCTATTTACAACTTAAAAAACTCAAGGAGGTTAATCAAAATTAAACTAACAACAATTATCACAATTGAAAACCGTGATACGAACACAGTTTGAATTTGGAAGAGTCGTCACTTCGAGGTGGGTATCGGAATACATTGAAAGGTGTTTTAACAAGTCTTACACGCGCCCAGGGATATATTATTTAATGCAATCAATCGGCCTCAAATGCGTCAAAGCAAGAATAGTTGAGGAGGCGAGGTTGGGAGTGCCACCAGAAGATATTTTTCTTTATTATGACACGATTGATAAAGAGCTTGAAGGTGTCCCGGCGTCATTCGTGTTTAACATGGACGAAAGTGGGCACCAAGATTTTATCGACTATAAAAACATCAAAGTGTTCATACCCGAGAAAGTGGATCTCAAATGTGTTCGATGTGCAACCGACAAATCTTCCAAGAAAATAACACACATCGCTTTGATCAACGCAATTGGTACGCGTCTGAAGCAGACACTCATCATCCCAAACCATTCCATCGAGAAGTACTTGAATAATTCTGGATATTACGAAGAAAACACACATTTAATGTTTGGGAAAAAGAGCACTCTTTCCAATGTGTTGTTTCAAGAATGGATAGACAAAGTTTTTATACCTGAAGTGCTCAGATTGAGAAACATATTTAAATACAAAGGTAATATCTTGCTTTTCCTCGACAATTGTAGTTCTCATAACAACAAAGATATTTTAAAGAATCTTGACGATGAAAACATCAAAGTTCTCTTTTTTGTCCCAAATACAACCAACTTTTTGCATATGCTTGACGTTGGTATTTTCAGTCAACAAAACAGAGAAAAGATAACAGAGTCAGTATTGGAGTTTGAAGTTGACAACGTCTTTCAATTGGAAAGCCAAGAGAAAGAAGATACGGGGCAAATTGGTGCAACAGAAATGGTCCAGATGTTGAACCAACAAATTGCCGATCAAAAGTGGAGGTTGGAGGAAGATGGTGTCTCAGCACGTGATTTCTATCTTGGTTATTCAAAAACCACGAAACAGTTATACACATTTCAAGAAGAGATGAAAAGAGGAACAGGGTACAAAAGTCAGTCATTCTCACAAATTCTCAAAGATGAATATCAACTAAGCAAAATGTCAAAATCAACAGTCAACATCTTAATGAGCTTTGAAAGAACTGCGACTATTCTAGCAACAATAAACTCATTTCGACAAGTTGGTATTGAAGTCATTCGTAGTTCTAATGGTTGGTACTACTGTCGGGCGAATCCTTTACTGGCAAGAGAATTGTCAATAAAGCCCGACATTGTTCGTGCATTGTTATCGTTCACTGTAAGAGAGTTGGAGAAAGGACGTCACAATGTAAAGGTAGATGAAGGCCATATAAAATGGTTGAAATTTCCAAAAGACAACAAATCGAAAAGAGAGAAGAACTTGAACTGAATAAGCTTGAAAAGAAAAAAAAGAAGACAAAGAAAGAGAGAAGAAAGAAGAAAGAACCCGAAAAAAAGTTGAAAAAGAGAAACTCAAAAGAAATGAAGAGGCGCAAAGAAAGAAGAAATTAAGGAAAGTAAAACTGAGAACTGAAGACAATGTCCCCGAAATTAATTCTAATGAACTCCTTACTGAACTTCCTTTCAAAACACCAAAGAAGAAAGAAGAGAAGTGTAAAGATAAAGAAATAGAGAACAAAAGCGTTAAACAATCAAAAAACCCAACAACATCTGACATCACTCACATCACTACAAACTGTGAAATCGATATTGGTAACCAATTAAATTTTGGAAAGACGATCGATTGTGAAAGAGACAAGTGGCTCGACAGAGACAGCATCGATTGTTATATTCAATACCACTTATTTGATCTTTCTGAAGCTGGTGTCCAGTGTCTATATACTACTGAACTCGACTTATGTATTCAAAGAAACCGAATTCCACCTTTAATAACAAAAAGATTGGTTGTGATTCCAATGTTCGTCTCTGGAAAATATTGGAGTTGTTTGATTTTCATCAAAAAGAACGAGTTTGACTGGAGTTTTCTTTATCTTGTTTCACTTGCTTGTTACAAAAATGACACCCTTCCTCGGCCTCCAGTTGATGATAATTGTTGGTATCTACTTCAAACCATCTTTGGTAAACTTGACCAAATACCATTTTATACAATCCCACAACAACAAACATTGGAGTGTGAATACAGTAATTTTTTCATTCTTTACAAATTTATATCAGGACTTCCTTTGGAGATTGTTTTGAAACACAAAGAAGACCAATTCATCTTTTGTTTCCGTATTTCTTAATTGGAAAAGAAACGTTAGATGAATAGTTAATTTAATTAACAACATTTTGTTTTTTATCGGATTGAAAATGTTCATTCAACAATTATGGACGAATTGAATAAATAAACTAAAATTATAATAAAATAAATAATATTTTTCAATACTTATTTGTTAATAAAACATAATAGTGGTTTGATTCACATTTATGACCGTTAAAATAAACTATTTAAATTTATTATATAAACTATAAAATTGTATATTGTTATTTAAACCCTTTACCAAACCCCGTTAAATTAAAATGAACTTGTGTTTTCAAGGAACCCATTGTAAGGCACTACAGTCCATTGATCTCTAATATCGCATTTATTACACCACTTTGAGAATAAAAGTGTCCCCGTATTTGTAATTCCAAATTGCCGAATCAACAATTTTTTCGAGAAAACATATAAGTTTGTTGTTCATGTTTCTCTGAAAATTAAATACTGACCTATAGGTTATTTATTTAATCATTTGTATTTCAATATGATGTACTACGTTTAGTGTGTTTAATTTGATTACTCTGAGGTGATCCGATAATTAGGCTATGACAATAAAGAATATTTTGATTTATTCTCCTCACAATTTCAGACAAACCTTCGAACCGAAGTTGATAAACCTTTTTAATTGGTCAGTTACATGAAGTTTACAAGTGTATTTGTCTCAAGGGCTTATTAATCATATTCAATTGTTTCTTTGTGTAGACAGCATCGAACATGGAGCTAGCTCAGTTTATTTTAATTTTCCTCTTTTTCCCTTTGTTTGGTTCAATTAATTATTAGCTTTTTATAATATTTCGAAAGTGTGAATTTAAATATAATTATTAATTAAAAAGCTATAAAAAGTTAAATATTTATAACAAATTTCGTCAAACTCTAGAAAATTTGTCTTTTTTCTCCTTGTTTTTTCGGCTATTTTTCAAAAAAACAAAAAGAAAAAGAAAAAGAAAGGGTTTTGGGAATTGACCAATCAAAATTATTTTTTTGAAACCCTTGTTTTTACATTTCACTTTCATTTTTACAGGTCTACTTTCACCCCTGTAACAAAACTTATTAAATAATTTAGATTAATTATTGGGTGATTTTATCGAAATTTTATTTTGCTCAGGCACCCCATTTTTGCTTAACTTAATTGTCAAAAAGACGTTTTTTTGTCCGCCCTTTTGATTTTTTCTAATAGAACTTAATTGGTTTAAAATAATCTTTTAATTTACAACATACCCTATATTTACTATAATTGAACTATAAAAAATAATATTCAGGTATTAAACAATTTTATAATAATTTTAATAGTCGTAATAAAAAACCTTCAATTATAAAAAATACATTAAGCCTTGGCAAGGAAATAAAAATATAGGAAAGAAGAATAGCAGCTCGAGTCAAAGCTGATAAGTGAGCCACTTAAATAATATGATCAAAGCTTGGCCGATAAAATGAAAAGCTTCATTATAAATGTTTAAAGACAAAGTCCACGACAACATGGATGGACTCTCTGACGCTGCTAAAGGGTTTACATCTTGACGACACATTCAATGACATGTCGAATGGTATTGATTTGGAGACAATTTTGGGTAAAAAAGAAAAATAATTTGTGGTTGAAGCGAAACAAAGAATATTTAACAGTTTGAGTTGTGATTATTCAACAACAATAAAAAAGCCTCAGTTTAATGTGGCTTTACGGATTCAACAGGTTGCATAATTTGAAATTATAACGATTTTGGGAATAATAACTTTAAGGGAAGAATGCAACAAATGCAGCAAAATTCATGAATATTTGGTCGTGTAAAATAGGGTGGACAAATAGGTGTCCGTTCTGACCTCAACAGCCATTCAATTTTTTAAGCTAAGACTAGTTTAATTTTATAGGTTTTTTACTATTTGATTTAAAATTTTATAAAACATTATATTTTTGAATGGTTTTGTTATTTTTGAACATCATCATTTTCCAAAAACGCATTTTGTATGGCTTTTAAGTGTTAACTTGCACTAATTTTTATCAAAACAGTAATAATTCAAAATAAACGAAAATTGGAACGAATTGTATCATTAAATAATGAACTTTTAGATCAAAATACGAACAAAATTAAAAATGCAAATGACACAACAACGCCTAAAGAGGCCGACTCCATTTTTAATATAAACACATCAATTGGTTCCAATTTAATATTGACTTTTTCTTCAGTTTTATCGATTTTTCCATTTCCCATTATTCTTTCACATTTATTATTTGGAAGATAGACAGTAGCGCTTCTGCTTTCTTTTTCGTCTGCATTTGCAATAATAATATAATCATAATTCTTTACTCTTTTTTTCAAATACAACACACGATCCGTCTCTACCTCCACGGTGTATTGTGATGTTTCTTCAACAGAAAGGATGATATCCCTCATGTTATAAATTTCGTTTGTTGCGACTGTCAAATCAAACCATCTGTTCATAAAAGGATCACCTTTATCGTCCATATACACAAAGTCGAAATACGAATAATAAAACATCCCCTTAGCTCCTCCAATAAAACCCAACCAACTCATCACTCGCAACTCCTGCAATGTTGGTGCTCTTGTATTTTTATTTTTGTATTTTTCTGGAAATTGGAGAGCATACGACATCCAGTTCATTGCTTGTATTACCGGCCAAGTAGAACGTGTTCCCATAACATCATTATTAATTTTATTTTGAAGATTATACACAGAATACACTGTAGATTCGTTAATTGGATATATATCAAGACCAAACGCATCAAAAGACGGGAGGTATTGTACAGTATCCAAATACTGATAATACACTGAATAACACGGATGATCGGGGTCTTTATCTCTAATAGTCATCGTCAAATTGGTCATTTCATCAATTCCACACAATGGTGTTTCGTCGTCAACATACCACGCAAAAACATTTGGATGGTCTTTATATGTCTCGACGTACGTTAGCAAATTGTTATATTCAACATTATAATAATCCTTTGTGACATTACAAGAATTTTTATTATAAGAGTACAAATCTCTCACTGTTATCACCGCTTTTAATCGTTCTCCATATTTCAAATTCATCAAATCCAACATTTTGATTGACGGCCGTCTATAAGGTATCATAATATTGATGTGTGTTGTTATAAGTTGGTCTATTTCACTTTCAGTTATTGCATAGTAATACAAACCAATGGGTAATATGGGTACTCCATTCTCAAGAACTCTTCCATATTTATCAAATGTGTATTTCTGTTGTTTATCAATGACTCGATTAAATTTTGTTTTTACGACTTCTTTGGTGTTTTCGGGCACATACAACAACTCTGCAGTCACATCATAAATTCCTTTAACGCTGAATTCGTTTTCAAACAAAAATTTGGTCACCGTACCAGTCGCATAAGCAGTTTGAGTCTTTTTTAGAACGCCACTTTTAAAAATCGACACTGTTATTTTAAGATGTTGAAGATCAACAAGAGACGATGCGTTTTGTTTAACATATACTTCAAAGGACTTGTGAGTGTCATGGACTTCTTGTCTGTAACTTACTACTTCGACGTTATCAAGAAAAGATGTTAATTTGGTCACTGATACACTATCAACAAGAGCAACACCTGAGGTGTCTTTAACGACGTAATAAATGTTTGTGTATGTGTGAGTTTCATTTTTAATAATATATGTATTAAAACACAATTTTTCCCATCCATTCGTTTGATTGTATCGCGGGCTGTATGATCCGGTAATATAAGTACCATTGAAAAACTCTTCAATAGCAAACATAAAAAAATTATTTTCGTTTGCGTCTAATTTAACATTGCAACAAACTTTATACTGAAAACTCGTTTCTAAAGACACTTTTTGACTTACAAATTCCACTTTTGATGTACCCTTTATTTTTATTGACTGTAAACCATCCTTTTTATCCGTTGTATGTACTGTTGCCGATGATGAAAAAGACCAATTTTTAACTTTGTTGCCATCCATTATTTCAAATGATGGATTTACAAGGATATTTGTTTCTGCCGAAACCACTGATAAAAGTATCACGTAAAGAAGCAATAACTCCATTAGTTCACAATCTGATTTTGTATTTTTTAATCTTTTTTCGATAAAAATAATTGTTTATTGTTTAATTTAAAAAAACAATATATCAATTTTCATGTTTTGTTGTAAATGTTATAAAGCAAGCAGAAATGTAAATTTACCAATCATTTGGATGATGTTAAATATATATGCGTAAAACTACAAATGAATTATTTATTTTAATATGTTTTATAAAAAAACATGATAATTTTGTGTTTAAAGAAAACACAATAAACCAAAATACAAATTAATTAATGATCATTTAACATTTTTTTACTTTTGACGAGTTAAATAATAAATGAGACAAAATATCACAAACAACAATTAGATGAGCATGATGAGTGTGGATCGTTAACAGTAAATATTTCTGTTGGTTTTCTTTTAAGTGTTTAATAATTAATTTAAAAAATCCAACAACTTTAATATAAATAATAAGCAAATTAGAAACTAAATTATTTCAATATCCAAAACATTGATTACAAAATTATATCTTGTGTTATTATAACAAAGTGATATTTCTTTTTTTTAACAATATATAAAAATATTGTGTTATTGTTTTTAAAAGGAATAATAATATATACAATTACAAATATACACAGTCAATGCTTCAGATATTGTATTTATTAAACAATGGAGGTATAGAAATATAACAAATAAGACCGACTCAATGTATTATGTTTTTTGAACTTGTTTGTCAACTTTTTATTTCGCTTGATATTCCAACATTATTTGAATTTATTGTTTCGACATTTTGTTGATTGTTTGTGACAATTTTAAAAGTGGTGCTATTATCGATCAAAAGTGTTTCATTACCGTTTACAACTTTTAAATTGTAATTTTTACAATCAACAAATTTTGCACTTTTAGCCACTAGTTCGATATAGTCGTTACGTGTTATGTTGTTGTTATTCATCACAACCAATTTTCCAATGCATTTTTCTTCAAATGAATTATCCAGTGCGGTGTTCTCAATTATCATGTTTTGCACATAGTGCACCATTTCCACGTTAAATATGTTTTTGTCAAACTTGCAATTTCTAAAAACAAAACTTTCAAATGCCAATTTTGACAATTCAAAAGAAATTTGTCCATTAGAATCGCAAGTTTCAAGGTGTTTCGTTTTTCCTGAAAATTGCCAAACAAAATTGTTATATTTATGAATAGTAACATATATTGCAGAACATTGCCGAATTGCCATAGTTTGTAGATCGCTTGTATTTACACAATTCTCCAATTTCAAGTGACCAATCAACAAATTTGACAACTTTGGCATTCTCCCAATAAAATTTGATATTTTTAATAGTGATAGATATTCTATATCCGATGTGAACTTCAGTTTTGAACAAACACAATTAAAGACATTGACAAATGGCTTTGTAACAACTATCTCTTTGTTATTTGATAACAAATCATGAAGATATCCACTGGGCGCAGTTCCGTATGGAGAATATCGTTTTACACTTAAATTGTTGGTGTCTTTTATACGATCTAAATTGTAATACGAGGTTTGTAACTCATTGAATGTATTATTTTCCATTGATTTAAATATATCCAATTTTTCATTGTGTTCGAGTGTGTTAATCGTTTTCTTGTTTTCAATTTGAATGATTTTAATGTTAAAGTTTGTAGGAAATTGATAAGTAGTTTCTCCACTGATAGTACATTTTTCTACGCCGGTGCAATTTCCAGAGCATGTCACATTTTGAGAAGACACAATTTTTAAACTCTTTAAATTGGCCTCTTCAAAAACAAAATTTAAATTCCCACAAAAAACAATTTCTAAACATTCACATTTTTCAAACGTTCTTTCAAAAATGAAGTTGTACATCCCAAACAATTTTACTGTATTTGTGTGCGAAAAGTCGGTTGGCAGAAATTCTGAAATTTGTTTAAGAAAAACAGTTTTAGCACTGATTTTTGTTGTGTTATAAAAACTTGTATCAAATAAAGAAATATTGTCTGTTATAATGGTTTGCGAAAGTTTTAGAGTTCGACACGTTTGAAAATCAATCGACGACATTGTGTTGTGTCAACAGAAATTGTTGGAAATAGACACTTTATAAACTGTAAAGAGAAATGATTTAAATGTGTGTGTACAAAATCGAATGTTGTGTTGTCACATTTTTTGAATGAAAAGTTGTTTTTAAAATTGCAATCAATACAAAGTCTACAATTTTTGAGCTTCTGAATGTCAATTGTACTGCACTTCTCCCCAACAAAAAAGTCTATATTAGACGAATTATAATTTTTTAGTGTTTTTAATTTCTCGTGTTTGCACATTTCAAGGTTTGAGGTGTTCATCAGTGTCATGTCTTCAACGTTTGGAAACAGCAGCTCATTTTCTTGTCTCCACATTTTCGTTTTCATGTTCAAAACAAGTTTTTGAAGTGTGAAATTTGCGTTTTGAATTTTGACTATTTTGACGGTTTCAAGTATTTCTTGAAAGACAAATTGACCGCCGTACAATTTTATTTCATCGATCTTCATGTTGAGAGGGACAATAATTTTCTTTTTTGATTCACCTTGCGCATCAAGTGTCAAACTTTTGACAAAGTCTGGTATCGTCAACTGGTCCAAATAAAATTCATTTTGAAAATCGGGTTTACTCAATGTATGTGGAGTTGCCGTTCTTTCCATCATAATTTCAAATTCAATTTTTGTTGCATAACACTTTTTTAAAAAAATTTCCGAATTCGAATAATCGACTGTGTTACTTCGACCGGTGATTTTGACTGAAATATAATTGCCGAATTTGCTTGTAAACAGTGGTTCTATTTTGTCACAATAATTTGGAAAAACTTTTTGTGAATAATTTTTACAATTTGGTGTTAGAACGACTTTTTCTTGGTACGGTGTGACATTAGTCCAGTCAATGTAAATGCAGGTGTTGTATTTACTCACAGCGCTGTTTATCGCATCGAAGTTTATTTGCAAATTACGTTGTTTACAAATTTCGGTGTCGAACTCTCCAAAACTTAATAATACTTTTTAAGGAAAATGGTACAAATATTTAAAATTCTCAGTAAACAAAATAAAGTAATAGAATTTTAAACAACTCATTTTTATTGTCGAAACTTTTGATTTGATAATTTTTTGAAAAAGAGAATTATCAAGTCGAATTTGCTCAAAAGACTTTTTGAATAACAAAGGAGGGTCTTCTATTATCATTGAAGTTATTTTGTTTATGATTTTATCATCTTCGAGTGAATCTAGATTATTAAGTAATGTTGGAGTGATTTTGATATTTCGAATATAAACTGCTTTTGTCAAAACGTCGTTTGATATTTGAAGAAAATTGCAATTAACAGTGTCTGTAGAAAATTTAGAACAAAAAGTTTCGACGTCTTTCGATTTGTAAAACTAGGGATTCACTTTTAATGAAGTAACAGCAATTTGACACTTTTTGTTGATTTTAATAAAAGTAAATATATCAGAGATTGTAAAAATATGCAATACAATTTGCATTTGATAAACCATCTCCAATTTTACCATAAAATGATGTTTGAAGTTTAACAAATTATATTTATATACAATATGTATTTGTATTTTTCTTATAAAATATTTAAGTTTAGATCATAGTTGAACAAAAACAAAGTGTTATTCAAAAAATGTTTTTTTAAAATTTTTATTTAACCCTTACAGGTCTGTTCAATTTTCATACTCCAGTTTGCTACAATGTTGTCAAGAGCTTAGCTTCCAAATACTGCTTCGAAAAGGGATATGATGATATGATGCTTTCAAATGGTTGGATTTCGTCGTTTTGTTCAAGAAATCAACTGAAATCAAAGAAATTATGCGGAGAAAGCAATTCAGTTGACCCAGATAAACACAAAGAAGCAATTGATAATCTGGTTGAAATTATTGCACAGTATGTTCCTAATAATGTGTACAACGCGGATGAAACATGTCTTTTCTATAAGCTGTTACCTTCCAAAACATTGTCAAGTGGTTCTGATAACCATGGAGGGAAGGAAGATAAAGAAAGAATTACAATTATGATATGCTGTTCACTAAGTGGAGAAAAAGAAAATCTTTTGATCGTTGGAAAGTATCGTAATCCAAGGTGGTTCTCTGATGGAAAGTACACTGAAGTTAAACAATTCTACGACTTTCAAACTAATGCTTGGATGAACATAGAGCTGTTTCATCGATGGCTACTCAAATGGGAAGAAGCACTCACAAGAGAAAACAGAAACATTCTTTTTATAGTAGATAATGCTCCAAGCCACAAGCTTATCATAACTACGACTATTGAAGAAGAGAAACACGGCTACACTTACAAAGGACTAAACGAAAAGGGTTTGCATGTGTATGAACTAAACCTGACACACATTAGGCTGGAATTTCTACCGAAAAACACGACATCAGTATTCCAGCCATGTGACGCAGGAATAATACACTCATTCAAGACCGCATATCGAAGAAAAATTGCGAATTTAAAGGCAGAAGAAATTATAGAAGCTCATTCTCAGGGAAAAACGTATTCAGGACTCAAAATGAATGTGGGAGATGCCATATTATATGCTGTCGACTGTTGGAACAATGATGTTTCATCAGAAACAATAATTGGATGTTGGAAGCGCGCTTTGTTCAGAGAAGAAGGTGGAAGGATTTTGGGAGATGGAACGGGCTATTCCATTGAAGATCTGATCGAAGAAAACGAAGAGCCCGGCGATGTTGAGGAACCTGAAGAACTATGAGATATTTCTTTAAGAATCGAAGAGTTGAAAAAACTGATAGTGAGTAAAAATGATGAACTTAAAGAAATAAAACAACAGTACAAGGAACTGTGTGACAAAAAAAATGTTCCCATGGAAATAGATTTTAATTAATTTAAAATCTAGTAATTTATGTTAAAACAAACTTTAAAAATACTACCTGAGGTGGCTCATGTCTCAGGTAGTCGTAGTATCATTAAGACAAGTGGTGACTACCTGAGGTGGCTCATGTCTCAGGTATTTATTTTATTTTTCAGTTTTGATTTA